GACGGGTGACTGTGCAGGGTGACGGGTGACTGTGCAGGGTGACGGGTGAATGTGCAGGGTGACGGGTGAATGTGCAGGGTGACGGGTGACTGTGCAGGGTGACAGGCTGTGCAGGGTGACAGGTGGCTGGCTGTGCAGGGTGACAGGTGACTGTGCAGGGTGACGGGTGGCTGTGCAGGGTGACGGGTGGCTGTGCAGGGTGACGGGTGACTGTGCAGGGTGACGGGTGGCTGTGCAGGGTGACGGGTGGCTGTGCAGGGTGACGGGTGGCTGTGCAGGGTGACGGGTGATTGTGCAGGGTGACAGGTGACTGTGCAGGGTGACGGGTGACTGTGCAGGGTGACAGGTGGCTGTGCAGTGTGACGGGTGGCTGTGCAGGGTGACGGGGGGCTGTGCAGGGTGACGGGTGACTGTGCAGGGTGACGGGGGCTGTGCAGGGTGACGGGTGGCTGTGCAGGGTGACAGGTGACAGGCTGTGCCGGGTGACAGGTGACAGGCTGTGCCGGTGACAGGCTATGTGGCAGAGCCGTGCTTGCCCAGGTCAGCGCCTGCCAGTGATAGCATGGCCTCCTCTCTCCCCACTGGACGTCAGTTCAGGGCTTGGGGATCACTGGAGAACTGTGGGCAGCACTACGCCCAGCACTGCCTGAGGATGGAAGCCCAGAAGAGCCACACTCGCGGTGCCTGTGAGCACACACGTCGTCCCAGCGTCTCTGGCAGAGCTTGGCTGTGCAAAGGCTTGGAGAATTCATCTGTGCTTCTCAGCGTCCATCCAAGGATAGCTGCTTCCACCACCAGAAAGCGTGGTCTCCAGGCCAAGCCAGGGTGGCCGGAAGCAGCCTCCTGTCCCAGCCTTGCCGACACCAGCAGGGCACTGCACCGGTCGGCCGGTGCAGCCCGCAGTTGTGACAGGAAGGCCGCACGCGGGGCCGGCAGCCACAGAGGCTGGGGTGGGGATGGTTCCCCGGCGCCCCTTCTTCCCGGCTGCTCCACGCCGGCGTCACACAGTGCTCTCAGCAAGGACAGAAGCCAGTCCTTGTCAAAGGACATCAGTGAAGCCTGCAGAGGAGCCCGTGGCAATTGGCTGAGCCTCCTGTGACAGCAGGCCTGCGTGGCACTGACCCACGCGTGCCCTGCCCAGGCCTTCAGTCGAGAGTAAAACTGGGCGACCCATGATGCCTCTCAGGAGCTTCCTGACCCAACTAGAATATCCTGGAACAGCTAAGCTGCTCCCAGAGTCCCATGCTGCAGAAGGAGCCGATCGATCACGGAGATGATGGTGGATAATCCATCACACACCGGGCATGCCCACTGCAGGGAGACGTGTGACAGAGGACTGGGGGGGGGGGGGTAACCGTGGAAACCCAGAGGCAGGCTCAGGGGTCAACAGGACACCCTGGCGGCCATGGGAGCCACAGGCAGGACACGCTGGGTCAGGCTTGGCCAGCCTCAGGCCATCCCAATGCCACCGTGGGGTCCAGGGAGAGCAGAATGTCCCCAGCCTGGCCAGACAGCCGGTGGCCGGGAGCTCACGGCTGTGCCTGATCGGGAGGGCAGTCCCAGCCCCTCCCACGGCGCCAGGCCCGCCCTGGGGACTGGCAGGATCCCCACAGCCGTGGGAGCAGCACCGCTCCACCGTGCAGCCCATCTTGCTTTTCTTCCTCCATTTCCTACCAGCACAGAGCGCTGTCCTCATTTGGAGCCGCAGCCTCTTCCTTCCTTCACGTGGACAATCACCACCTCCGCCCGAGCACGCCGCTCAGCTGGTGCCGTCAGGGGCGGAGTCCGTGTCCACGGCCTTTAGCTGTGAATCTGACAGCTGTGTGGCCCTGCCTCACACCAGCCCAGGGAAACCGCGGGCCCACACCCAACTCCGGGGCTCCTGCTCCACGGCCTTGCAAGCACACTCAGGCTGGTTGACAAGGGCCAAGAAGACAGAGGCGGGCCAGGCGGGCACCCAAGGCTTCCCAGAGCAGCCATGGAGGCAGACGCGTGAGCCTGGGGAGACCAGGAAGAAGGACGGCTGACCTCCGAGCAAATCATCACTGCACTCAATAATCACAATCATCACCCATTAACAAATGAATGCTTGACAAGACACTAGCAATTAGGGGTAAAGACTAACTGGCACATCGATAGAACAGGCCATGTCCCTAGAAGCAGCGTTTCCTTGATGCCACAGAAATTGACGTGTGTGCATTCCTAGGCTCCATTTCCAGAGCCGAGATGAGCCGGGATGGCGGTACAGGCCGTTGCTATTTGGATCAGCACGGTGCACAGCCTGTGCAGACATCAAACACGGTTCTGACCCCAGGTAACAAGGCAGACGTGCCCCCAAGCTGCAAGAAGCCAGGGGAGTGCGGGGCTCAGCAGCCAGTCCGTCTCCATGGCAACGGCAGCGGCAGCCTGGCAACGGCGGCGGCAGCCTGGTAACGGCGCTTGCAGCCTGGGCCACGGGGGACCACACAGCCCATCCGCAGCTCCGAGCACCACAGCGTGCTTGTCTTCCCCAAAAGCTCCCGGAGGGCTCCAGCAAATCCCCTCCTGTGTAAATTAGCCAGACTCCGATCTTCCTGCGGCCAGCAGAGCAGCTGGCCCTCAACTCGGGTCTGCTGGGGTGAACTGAGCCGCCCGTGGGCCTGGCTTCAGTGCCCAGCCCATCTGCCACCGGCCCAGTGCCCTCGGGGTGCACACAAGGACGGGGAGGCCGCTTTCCAAACCAGCATCTGTGAGTGGCTGACGTGTGCGCAGACATGGGGCCTGGTGTAGAAACACACTCCGCGGGTCGGGGCCTTGCTGGCCGGGACGGCACGCCACCCTGGCCCTCGTGTCCCTGCACTCTGCCTTGGGGCTCAGAGGCGGAGAGACCACACCTCTCCACCAGGGCTAACCTCCCATCAACCATCGCCAGGCTCCCGCACCTCTCCACCAGGGCTAACCTCCCATCAACCATCGCCAGGCTCCCTGCCTGGCTTCGCCTGTGTCTAGCCAGCTCCGCCCCCACATGAGCACCGCAGACCATTACTGAAGGACAGAGGGGCTCTGGGCACGGGGTCAGCAGAAGAGCAACCTGGGGCCTCCCAGCATCCTGCCTCTCTCCAGTTCTTTCTGCATCTCTCTCCCTCTGTCTTTCTGATACCCAAGTACACACATATGTGCACAAGTGCACACATACACATGTACATGCTCCATTACACATACACGCACACACACATACACACACACACACAGCATCCGCCTCCTCTGCTCTGGAAAGTCCTTGGTGCCAGCAGCAGCTGCCGCCCTCCTGACGCTGGGGGGCAGTGTGGCCTCGCGGATCTCCACCTGCCAGGCGCCCCAGGCATCTCCCGCTCATCTGTCTCAACCCACGCTTCACAGTGAGCTTTGTGTCACGCCTCACTGCGGCACCTAATGAATCTCCGCCCACCCGGGGCCCTCACTGTGCAGTCTGAGCCTGGCAGGAGCAGCTCAAGGTGAAGGTTCCAATTCCCGGCCCCCGCAGTTTGTACCCCATCAGATTTGCTTCAAAACCCACCCTAGTCACGCTCCAGGTCACGTAAGGTGGTGCAGACCTCCCCCTCCCCCTACAAGAAGCTGTGTGGAGGAAGCTGGAAGACAGGGCCCCGAGCTGGGCACGCCCAGCCCACGAGGCAGTGCCAGAGCTTTGCCACCCCCATCTGTGAGGCGGGGGACCCCCGAGCCTGCACGGGTGCAGGCGCGGCTGGAGAGCACCCCCTGGCGACTGGGACCCCAGGCCCAGGCCACACTGAACATCCGGTGTGTCCGCCAGACAGCGCTGATGTGTAAGAAACACCGTGGGGTGTGGCTGGACGGGGGACTCCATGAGGGAAAGTGTCTCCTGTCCAGAGCCTGGACACAGGGCGGCCGCCCGCGCGCTGTCCCTGCCCTCCCGTCACCGTGCAGCGCTCACGCGACGCCTCTTCCAGCTTTATGGCCACACAGAGCCCTCCTCCCTGCAAGCCAGGTGTCCGGCAGATCACGGCACCTGGACCATCTTCCCAGTGAGGCTCAGAAATCCATAGACCTGTCAAGAAGCTCCTGTGTAGAACTGGGCAGGTCTGAGATCTACTCACAAAGCCGCGTGTCAGCCTGCAGCCGGCCTGGAGACTCCAGGGTCCATCAAGGGACCTCGTTACTCATGCAACAGCAGAAGCAGGACGGAGCTCCACACGGGGCTGACCCCAGGCCCCGCACGCTGCAGGGAGAGCACACCGTGACCGGTGCCCTCGAGTCCAGGAGCACGAGTCCCGCACCGCAGACCACGGCCAGAGGCAGATCTCTTCAATGTGGGGCCAGTGTGGGGCCCCTGCCCAACAGAGCAAAGCCACGCAGCCCTGGTGTGACAGAGAGGCCCACCGAGCTGCCCGAGAGAGCAAGATCACGCAGCCCTGGCGTGACACACAGAGAGGCCCTCTGAGCTGCCCAAGAGAGCGAGGCCACGCAGCCCTGGTGTGACAGAGAGGCCCACCGAGCTGCCCGAGAGAGCAAGATCACGCAGCCCTGGCGTGACACACAGAGAGGCCCTCAGCTGCCCGAGAGAGCAAGGCCACGCAGCCCTGGTGTGACAGAGAGGCCCTCTGAGCTGCCCGAGAGAGCAAGATCACGCAGCCCTGGCGTGACACACAGAGAGGCCCAGCGAGCTGCCCGAGAGAGCAAGATCACGCAGCCCCGGCGTGACACACAGAGAGGCCCTCAGCTGCCCGAGAGAGCAAGGCCACACAGCCCTGGTGTGACAGAGAGGCCCACCGAGCTGCCCGAGAGAGCAAGATCACGCAGCCCTGGCGTGACACACAGAGAGGCCCTCTGAGCTGCCCAAGAGAGCAAGATCACGCAGCCCTGGCGTGACACACAGAGAGGCCCAGCGAGCTGCCCAAGAGAGCAAGGCCACACAGCCCCAGCGTGACACACAGAGAGGCCCAGCGAGCTGCCCAAGAGAGCAAGGCCACACAGCCCCGGCGTGACACACAGAGAGGCTCAAGAGGATTTATTTTTGATTTTCTGGAATCTGGATTTGCAGCAAAGCAAGTGTTCTATCCTACCTGGGAAAAGGAACCTATATTTTATAGGCACGTGGGTCACATGGCGTGGGCAGACAGTGGTCCCAGACCCCAAATACCATTTGCATTAGCTACTGGAGTCTATTAGAGGCTGCATTTGCTATAGGACCCAAGCAGGTTTATAGAGGCCCGCTTCTGAATCACAATCCCATAATGCGTATTTTGGCTACAATGCAGGTAATGAAACTTCACTTCTTCAGAAATGGCAGCCAGAAGCACTGCTTCCCGTCCGGTCCACGCAGTGTCATACACAGGGCTTCCAGCACACCGCCCCCCGCCATGGGAGGGTGCGGACCGCGCGCGGGGCTGGTCTCCACCGCGCCGGCGGGCACGGGCTGGGGAAGACGGGTTCGGGAGGCCGGCTCCCCGCAGCGCAGCCCCGCTGCTCACATGTTCTCCTTGTCGAACTCACACATGAAATACATGGTGATGTGGCAGGCCACGTCGTTCCAGCCGCCCGAGGCCACCATCTCCACGCAGTCCTCCTCGTCGAAGGCGTTGTTGGGCTCCCCGCTGCGCCACTTGTTGAAGGTCTGCATGGGGGAGCGGTCGGCGTAGAGGAAGGCGCCCTCTTTCTCCAGGTCGTTGATGCCGATGAAGACGCGGGCCAGGCCGGCCTGGGCCAGGTAGGCAGCCATCAGCCCGTTGGAGGCCTCGTCCTTGGGCATGGCCAGCGTGCCCCCGCGGCCCTGGCAGGACAGCTGGGCCTCGGTGTAGCGCTTCTCCTCCTTCACCAGCAGGTAGATCTTGCTCTCGGTCTCGCGCACGCCGGCCACGGCTGCGGGGGAGGGCAGGGCTGAAAGCGAGGACTCGAGTCTCGAGACACCAACTTAGGGCACCCCCACACAGAGCAGCAGCCACGCGCCGGCTCCCACGCAGCCCGGCGGGCAGGGGACGTACCGTTTTTGATGAACTTCAGCTCCGTCGCCAGCTGAGTGACGTGGTTGTCCATCTCGCCGATGGCCTTCCTCAGCTGGCCACACTCGCACGGGAGGCCTGTGGGGGACCGGGCCTGTCACGCACTGATGGGGGCCCAGGAGGAACACGGCGCCCGCCCCGGGGAGGAGCACCCGCCACAGCCTGGTGCAGGCAGCGGGAGCCCGGTGAGCCACAGCGGGGAGCGGCAGGAGGGAGGACGAGGCGGGGGTACGGGCACTGCGGAAGGACTCGGAGCCCTCGGACGCCTCCTCGCCTCAGCTCTCAGGGACGCTGGGACTGGCCAGCTGACAGTCTTGAGTAAAGACTTCTAGAGATCGGACACAGAGCCACCCACGGGCCTCAGCCAGGGCAGGTGCTCAGGGGTTCTGACACCGCCGTGCTCTGTCTAAGGGGGGAAACCCTCCGTGCGTGGGGGCCTGACAGAGGGCTGGGGAGAAGCTGGGGAATAACAGGTGTGCGATGAGGCTGGAGGGGGCGGACGCAGCGTGCAGGCCGGCCGCCCCCGTGGAAGCCATCACGAGCTATTGCTCTGGCTTGCTGGCACAGGAGGTGGCACTGGAAGCCCCCCACAGTGGGCAGGAGCCCCCGCCTGGGCCTGCACACCGCTGCCTTCCGCGCCTCACGGGTGACCACAGGTGCACACCGCCTCGCCAGCGGCAGTGTGGACCCTGTCACAGGCATCTGAAAGCCTACGGCAGGAGCAGGGTGGAGAGGGGGACAGGGAATGGCGGCCAGAAGGGAGGTGGAGGGACAGGGACGGCACCACAGCCCCACCAGGAGCCATCAGGGACAGATGTGCCGTGGACACTGAGCGTCCACTCCTGAGTGGGTCAGACGGGAAGGCAGCGGCAGGACATCCGGAAGGAGGGGAACATCTGGAAGCAGTGCATTCCTGAGAAGACGGTGGGGAAGGAAAGGCAGAAGGAGCCAGAAGCTGTGAGGAACGTGTGCCGCAGGAGAGGCCTGCCAGGCCTAGACCCGATTCATCGCAGTCAAACTACAGCTCAAGAACACTGAGCCAGGTACTGGTGGCTCACACCTGCATTCCTAGATACCCAGAGGACTGAGATCTAAGAATCACAGTTCAAAACCACCTGGCAGAAGAGGCTGTGAGGCTCTTCTCTCCAATTAAACACCAGAATTAAACATCAGAAGTGGAGGGGAAAAAGCCAAGCGAGCACAAGGCCCTGAGTTCAGGCTCCAGTTCCAGAATTTCAAAACCAATGAAATGGAGGGACAAAGGGTGAACAGATGCAGCGGTGGTCCTCACTGGACACTAGGTTGAAACTGAACTACACAACGTGTGGGTGTGGATGGGAGGGAAAAACTGGGAGACAGTGAGGGAAAGGGGTGACAGTGTCCAAAAAGAAACGTCCTCATTACCCGACTTATGTAACTGTAACCCCTCTGTACACCACCTTTATAACAACAATAAAATAAACCACACATTGAAATATTTTCACCATAGGAGAGTCAAAGACTGAACTACCTCACATCCAGCCAAAGATGTTTTCCTCTGATTTACAGTTCAAAGTATAAGTTTAATAGCGTTTATCTAAGACCATAGGCTCTTCATGCCATACCTGGTTCTCCATTAGGGCCAGGGGGTCCTATGTCACCAGAATCTCCTTTCTCGCCTGAAAAAGAGAAGCAGAAGCAAAGTGGCTCTGTGGATGGGCTGTGGATGGAGGTACAGAGACACCACGGTAATCACACGGATTCTTCCCCGTGCCATGCCCGGAGCCTTCTCCAGATCCTCCCTGCTTGCTCCGAGAGCTCTTTGGGCTCTGTGCGTGGAACGTGAACACAGGCGTTTCACGGGGCTTTGATTCTCACACGCCCCGGGCACTCTGCAGCATCCTCAACACCAAGAGCAGACGGTGCAAGCTTCCTCAGCACGGCTCCCACAGCCGGAACATAGAGGAGCAGCAGTGCTCAGGGCCACCCGTCTGGAAGAGTAGACGGCACCTCCAATGGGCATGCCCAGCTGCAGCGCCAGTCCCCTGCTGCTGTGCCCGCCCTGCCTCCTGGCAGACAGACAGACACCTGACCACCGGGGCCTCTATTGGTCTCAACATATAAACACGGATCCAATGCAGCGACAGCACGAAGCTCTCCAGCTGCTATAAAATCCAGCCGTGACTGGTTGCATTTGAGTCCAGCGGACATTCCAAGGGCAGCAGTGTCCACCTGTCACCGGGACAAGCTACATACCTTTGTGAAGAGCTGAGCCTTCCATCCACTTGCAGACTCAGACCCCCGCGGGCCGGGCCGGAGGGAGCTCCACAGACCCTGCCTGCTCCGGCCTTTGGGTTCTCTAACCAGCCTGACAAGGACCAGGTCTCGACCTCAGAGACAAAGCCAATAGGCAAAGCCAAAGAAGGGTGGGCTGGTCTGTGACCGAGTGTGAAAAGTACACGCCTCCCCTCTGAGTGCCAAGAGCCACTGCAGCCAGGCTGGGAACAAGCCAGGCACCCAGGCAGAAAGTGGGTGAACAAACACACTCTAGCCATGCGGTGCGTGCTGTTCAGCCACTGGAGGGGGGCAAATTCTGACCACTGCTGAGACACTGGAGACCTGTGGAAACGTTACACTAAGGAACCAGAGCAGTCAGCGGGAACATCTAGAATGGGGAAGTTCACAGATCCCAAAAGCAGGAGGAAGGGGAGGGAAGGGGAGAAGTAGGGAGGGAAGGGGAGGGGAGGGGAGGGGAAGGGAGGGGAGGGGAGGGGAGGGGAGGGGAGGGGGTGACTGGTCTGAGGGTACAGCTGCTCTCTGCGGTGAGGGCAGCCTGTGGGGACCGGCAATGTGAATGGCGGTGCCGCGCTGCAAGTGCTCAGAATTCCACTCGAGTGCACACTTAGAATGGTCCAAGTGGCAAACTTCAGGCAGCTACGTCCTCAGAGGCCCACGCAGCTCTCCGCAGCGTCACCCCAGGTTTCTCTGGGGGCTGTGCGATCTGCAGCAGGTGCTCCCGCGGAGAGCTGCGGCTGAGCAGCTGCCCACCCCCTGCCCGCCCGCCCACACCCTCCCCACAGCTGCGGGTCAGGCCTGGCCACCGAAGCCCTCCCTGCCCAAACTCCACCGGGGCCTCTCCAGCCTAGTTTACCTAACCTGCCACACAAACCAGAGGCTAGACTGGTCCGTGCCACCCAGCCCGGGGCTCTTGGTTCAGCTCTGCACCAGCCCTGCCCGCTCCAGCTCTGTCTCCCCACCCCCAGCTTGTGACAAGACCTGGATTACAGGAAGACTCCGTGGTAGGCACCTGCCTAGCAAGTGTGAAGCCTTGTTCGGACCCCAGTATTACCCTTTCTTGGGAAGGTGACACAGAGAACTCAGGGACCTCTAGCTTCTTCCTCCAGCACCCCGTGCCCCCAAGGCCCAGCCCAGGTATGGAACAAAGCAAGAACTCAGCACACGCCAGCTCACTGCACACACCGGGCACGGGGCAGGGATGCCCCAGCACCCCTAGCTGCCCTGGGCCGAACCCTCCTGGGCAGGAGCAGTGTGGCCCCGCTGCACAGCGTAGAAAGGCAGCACCTGAGGCCACAGGCACTGGCCCCGGGGTGCTGCTCATACCCGCTGGGGGTCCCTGTGCCCCGGGGGTCCCCGTACCCCGGAGGTGCTGCTCACGCCCGCCGGGGGTCCCTGTGCCCCGGGGTCCCTGTGTCCTGGGGTGCCACTCATGCCCACCAGGGGTCCCTGTGCCCCGGGGTGCGGCTCACACCCGCAGGGGATCCCTGTGCCCCGGGGTGCTGCTCACACCCACTGGGGGGTTTCTGTTAAGAATCACCCCAGCTCCTCGAAAGGCCTAAGAAGCCAAAGTCCAGGGCAGATAGACAGGGGCGCCCTCACCCTTGGGGGAGACGCTGCATGAGGGCGCCAGGTCACCCAGGCGCACAGCATGGTTTCCTGAGTCCTGGAGGAGGGGACACCCGAAGTTTTCACCCCACCCAGACCTGAGGGGGCACAGAGCGAGGACACCTCACTGCACCGAAGCCTGCCCGGCCCAGAGCTAGCAACCCCTCACCCCAGCCCGGCCTGCCAGGCCCAGCGCGGACAAGCCCTCGGCCCCTCAGACAGGGTGAGCACTGCAGCAGGCGCAGCTTCTGTGATGCGCAGAAGCATGTCCAGCCACCATGCAGGACAGCTGCTGTCCATGCCAGCTCTCCGACCCTAGGCAGAGAGGGCCACGGGACAACGATCGAAGGCAAATACCTTTAGCACCAATGGGACCATATTTTCCATGTCGACCCACACTGCCCTTCTGTCCTTTGTCCCCCACGTCTCCTGTGGAAAACAAGGAGATCAAAGTCGGTTGATGCACAGGTGATCCCACACACACACCTGATAACACGGAACTAAAAACACAGCGCTTCACCTCCACGAGTCACGCAGGTGGCCGGACAGCTCTGCACGCATACCGCATGGTCACAGCGGACAAGGGAAGATGCATGCCCCCTGAAAGTCATACACACCCCAGGACAGGAAAAGGCAAACGTGGCGCTCTCGAGCCCCGCACTGAGCAAGGCCTGCTGTCCTCACGGCCATGGAGGGAAGGACAGGACATCCCCGCCACCCCACACACCCCACCACGACAGCTCCACTCTCACCCAAAGCCGGGACTCACGACCGCGCAGGCTGAGTCTGAAGACGACGCTCCAGGAGACGGGCTGGGAAAGCACCTGGAACGGCGCCTTGGGACTTGGTCGGGTCTATAGTGAAGTGACCCAGGGTGCTCAAGTCTCATCCCAGGACTTGTAACATGCACAAAAACACACTGCAGCACACACATCACATCATGATCCTACAGCACACACGCTCACACCATGACCTTGTAGCACACACTCACACCGTGACCCTGTAGCACACCCTCACACCCTGACCCTGTAACACACCCTCACACCATGACCCTGTAGCACACACTCACACCCTGATCCTGTAGCACACCCTCACACCCTGACCCTGTAGTACACACTCACACCCTGACCCTGTAGCACACACTCACACCCTGACCCTGTAGCACACCCTCACACCATGACCCTGTAGCACACACTCTCACCCTGACCCTGTAGCACACACTCACACCCTGACCCTGTAGCACACACTCACACCCTGACCCTGTAGTACACACTCACACCCTGACCCTGTAGCACACACTCACACCCTGACCCTGTAGCACACACTCACACCCTGACCCTGTAGTACACACTCACACCCTGACCCTGTAGCACACCCTCACACCCTAATCCTGTAGTACACACTCACACCCTGACCCTGTAGTACACACTCACACCCTGACCCTGTAGCACACACTCACACTCTGATCCTGTAGCACACCCTCACACCCTAATCCTGTAGTACACACTCACACCCTGACCCTGTAGCACACCCTCACACCCTAATCCTGTAGTACACACTCACACCCTGACCCTGTAGTACACACTCACACCCTGACCCTGTAGCACACACTCACACCCTGATCCTATAGCACACACTCACACCATGATCCTGTAGCACACCCTCACACCCTAATCCTGTAGTACACACTCACACCCTGATCCTGTAACACACACTCACACCCTAATCCTGTAGTACACACTCACACCCTGACCCTGTAGCACACCCTCACACCCTAATCCTGTAGTACACACTCACACCCTGACCCTGTAGTACACACTCACACCGTGACCCTGTAGCACACACTCACACCCTGATCCTGTAGTACACACTCACACCCTGACCCTGTAGCACACACTCACACCCTGACCCTGTAGCACACCCTCACACCCTGACCCTGTAGCACACACTCACACCCTGACCCTGTAGCACACCCTCACACCCTGACCCTGTAGCACACACTCACACCCTGACCCTGTAGTACACACTCACACCCTGACCCTGTAGCACACACTCACACCCTGACCCTGTAACACACACTCACACCATGACCCTGTAGCACACCCTCACACCCTGACCCTGTAGCACACACTCACACCGTGATCCTGTAGTACACACTCACACCCTGACCCTGTAGCACACACTCACACCCTGACCCTGTAGTACACACCCACACCCTGATCCTGTAGCACACACTCACACCGTGACCCTGTAGCACACCCTCACACCGTGATCCTGTAGCACACACTCACACTGTGACCCTGTAGCACACACTCACACCCTGATCCTGTAGCACACACTCACACCATGACCCTGTAGCACACACTCACACCCTGACCCTGTAGCACACACTCACACCGTGACCCTGTAGCACACCCTCACACCGTGATCCTGTAGCACACACTCACACCGTGACCCTGTAGCACACCCTCACACCCTGATCCTGTAGCACACACTCACACCATGACCCTGTAGCACACACTCACACCGTAACCCTGTAGCACACACTCACACCGTGACCCTGTAGCACACACTCACACCCTGATCCTGTAGTACACACTCACACCCTGACCCTGTAGTACACACTCACACCCTAATCCTGTAACACACCCTCACACCCTGATCCTGTAGTACACACCCACACCCTGACCCTGTAGCACACTCACACCCTGACCCTGTAGCACACCCTCACACCCTGACCCTGTAGCACACTCACACCCTGATCCTGTAACACACACTCACACCCTGATCCTGTAGCACACACTCACACCCTAATCCTGTAACACACCCTCACACCCTGACCCTGTAGCACACACTCTCACCCTGACCCTGTAACACACACTCACACCATGACCCTGTAACACACCCTCACACCATGACCCTGTAGCACACACTCACACCCTGACCCTGTAGCACACCCTCACACCCTGACCCTGTAGCACACACACCCTTACACCATGTCCCCGCAGAACGCACCGCCTCTCCACTATGACTGGCGTGCTCTCTGCCCAGCCCCAGGCAGAGGGCATTCTCTGGCACCAAGCCCCACGTGTCTGTCAGCAATAGCATTCGGGTGAGGCGGGGGACCCTGGGGTCCCTGAGCCCCTGAGACCGCACTGCTCTCATTTAAGTCTGTGGTAGGAGAGGTGAAATGTTAGGAGAGAAGCAACTCCACAGCCTGTCCCTCCCTGGCTCTTTAACCCAGACGCCCCCCCCCCCCCCCAGATGTCAGGCTCCATGGTGACAGGAAGACATGATGAAGGGGAGGAGGAGGCTGGAGGCCCCGGGGGAGGTGGGGGAGGTGGGGCGGAGGAGCTGGCAGCATAGACATACTCATAGCCTTTCCCTCTGTGGAATTTTCCACCTCAGTAGAACGAGCAATTAGCACTCTGTTCCATCAGCTGGCGGAGGCAGGAAGCGCCTCGCACCCGTCCTGCTGTCATTAGCAGCCAGAACTTGACAAGGATTTGAGAGCCGTTGGCTTCGGGCCCAGTCTCTGAGCACAGGCACATTAAGGGGAACTCAGGGCTGAGGCTGACGTCCGTCACTGTCACCTTGGTGGCGGGCACAGGCACACCTGCCCTTCGAGAGGCCAGAGGCCCGGTCCCTGCACCAGGCAGCGGAAAACGTAGGGACAACCGTGCAAAATGAGGAACAGTGGGAGCCAGGTGGAGACGGCTGCCAGCTCCAACTCCGAGCGGCAGAAAGCAAACCTGCAGCGGGGCAGTGGGGAGCAGCTCACCCCTTTGAGGGCTAAACCCACCCGCGGGCACCGAGGGCCTGCAGGTGGCAGAGCCGCTGCCCAGCCCACACAGAAGGCTGGGGCAGCGGGGCATTCCCCACACATTACCACAGGACACCAATGCCACCGGCCCAAGAACTGAAGGTGCAGGAGCGGCATGGTGAGGCTGCAGAAGGCCGGAGAGGGCACAGCACTGCCCAGTGAGCAAGGTTGGTGCCTCGCGCCTCCATCAAGGCGGAGCGCAGCCTGGCTGCAAAGCTGGGACCGACAGTAAAGGACTTCACGGGGTAATGCACAGACCCACAGCTTCCTCCCATCCCTCGCTCAGCGACCCCTAGCCCGGGTGCCACTGTTGGCTACGAAGGGAGTCATCCAGCCCTGGGCGTGGCTCAAGCCTTCCTTGTACTCGCTTGGCACCTGTACTGCCGAAAATGAAAACCATCCAGAACAGCACCTGGAACATAGCAGGTGGCGATAGCATCCAAGGCGGGCAGAAACAAGAAGTGTGCCGAGCCACGCTGACCCCGGGGCTGGGGGCAGGCACCTGCACTTCACTGTGCTCCCTGAGCCCAACGCTCACCCAGACAGGCCTCGGCCTCCCTCAAGCTGGCTGCGATGCCACCAGAACCTGCTCCTCCAAGACAGCAGAAGACAGAGCAGTGAGGCTGCAGCTTCCTGCAGCTTTTCCACAGAGAAACAGACTAGGGGCCGTGCAGGGACCATGCCAGGAGAGCACACTCACCACAGACCAGTGCACACACCAGGAGCACACTCACCACAGACCAGTGCACACACCAGGAGAGCACACCACAGACCAGTGCACACACCAGGAGAGCACACTCACCACAGACCAGTGCACACACCAGGAGAGCACACTCACTACAGACCAGTGCACACACCAGGAGAGCACACCACAGACCAGTGCACACACCAGGAGAGCACACTCACCACAGACCAGTGCACACACCAGAAAAACACGCTCATCACAGACCAGTGCACACGCTAGGAGAGCACACTCACCACAGACCAGTGCACACACCAGGAGAGCACACTCACCACAGACCAGTGCACACGCCAGGAGAGCACACCACAGACCAGTGCACACGCCAGGAGAACACACTCACCACAGACCAGTGCACACGCTAGGAGAGCACACTCACCACAGACCAGTGCACACAAGAGGAGAGCACACTCACCACAGACCAGTGCCCACACCAGGAGAGCACACTCACCACAGACCAGTGCCCACACCAGAACACGCTCACCACAGACCAGTGCACACACCAGGAGAGCACACTCACCACAGACCAGTGCACACACCAGGAGAGCACACTCACCACAGACCAGTGCACACACCAGGAGAGCACACTCACCACAGACCAGTGCACACGCCAGGAGAGCACACCACAGACCAGTGCACACGCCAGGAGAACACACTCACCACAGACCAGTGCACACGCTAGGAGAGCACACTCACCACAGACCAGTGCACACAAGAGGAGAGCACACTCACCACAGACCAGTGCACACAAGAGGAGAGCACACTCACCACAGACCAGTGCACACGCCAGGAGAGCACACTCACCACAGACCAGTGCACACACCAGGAGAGCACACTCACCACAGACCAGTGCACACACCAGGAGAG